ATTAAGAGAAATTGCAAAGATAACATTACAGTTATGAGTGATGCATATGTTTGCTTGTGTTTTATTTAAGAATGATAAGAATACCTTTGGTCTTCAGGAGATAATAAAAGATGGGCAATCTGAGATAGTTTTCTCAAAACCTCTCATGATGATTTGACCTTATTCTTCTTGTTCTCTAACTATGAAAATACAGAATATGAATAGATATGTGCACAGAAATTTTGTGATGTCACATAGAGTTAAGGGTGTACCTCTAGTTAAAAGCAAGCTAAAATGGATCCAAATATTAAAAAAACAAAACACATGGCTTCATAAGGATTACATAATTATAAGCTATGCCTTTATTCTTAATGAATATTTTCTCAGTTATTTGAATAATCTATAGTCCTTAATTAATAGAATATTTAACATATATGTCTATTTATTCAATTAATATATATGTATTTGCTTCTTATAATTTTCTTTCAACAGAAAACACATAATTTATATTCCTTATACATGCATTTATTGGATGCTCTGCTTTTTATAGTTACAGATATTTGAGAAATGTATTTCACTATGAAAATTTTTTCTTTCAAGAGATAATACAATCATCAAGTAATCTCTAATTCTCAAATTATTGTACAAAATTTTATAAAATAATAAACAAATATAATTTTGTCTACAGAAATATCCATATTTCAATAAATTTTCATTGAGATTGTTTTTCATATCAAGGTACAATAATTTGTTTAGATTCTAAGACTTATATAGAAATTCTTCCAAATTATAACCAAAAGAAAGAATTCTAAACGGAGAAGAAGATACTTCCACAGAGAGGAAACATAAATTGGAGGTCCTACAAAGAGGAAAGAAATTCTCTTTGGGAAATATAAGGTTGTTATATTTTAGATTTTTCTACATAAGGAAATCCTTACATAATTACCTATTATCTAGACAGATAATAGAGAAATTTAAAATAATTGAGAAACTGATTTATGTATAACTGGACTGACTGTAAATATAAA